TTCCGGGACGCACGCAATTGCATTTGCCAGCGCAGCGCGCACCACCTTGGTACACGTGGAATCAATTTGAAGGGAGCGGGTGTCAACCTGACAGTTCAGCCAAACGTAATAAACATTGATTGAAATACCATTTACATTGGTTGACTAGACTATTAAACACAAAAGCTGCCATAAAGACGTGCTACAGAAGCCCTACCTCGTCAAGATGGACACGTGCGACCACTGCCAGGATGGGGTACAATTTTCGTAAGGTCATTTTGAGTCTCGTAAACTTACCGAGTACTGTCACCACATTATCTGAACAAATATCCCAAATGCAGTGTATTTTACAGACATGGGTTGCTGGTTAACTTTTCGTTAGCTAGCTAGCAAGTTGAAGAAACGTTAACGTTGCTCTGGTGATGCATTATTTTTCAGTCAAGCAAATTATTTACTAGAAATCTAAACAATGTTTGATCAAAACTAACTGCGAGTCAAATTGTTTGGTTTTAGTAATATAAGATGTGACGATGAAATGGCGAATACAATATGACATTTGCGATAGGGACAACATTGATACTCCTGCTCTGAACTAAAACGGACTCTCCTGGTCAGGGTTGTCAGGTGTAGCAAAAATGTATATAGCCTAATGACCTCGCAAAACCTGCACACAAGGCCTGAAAACTAGCACATTTTTTTCACATCAAGAGAAGAGTTGCCACATTTATCCAAAAAACCTTTTTCCATAACGTTATCGAGCGAATTAAGAATAAATATCCACGTAATTTGTAACGACATAGGCTAAGAAGCTAAATTCGGTTTTCCAATAAAATAAGAATTATTCTGAGTTTAAAAATGTGTAGCAAGAGAAAAAAACTTGCCAGATCATTTTCCATCAATGGATGTTGATTTAACTTGTTTTGACTGCTATGATTAAGCAATAAGGCCCAAGGAGGTGTGGGTATATGGCCAATATACAATGGTGAAGGGCTGTTCTTAGGACAAACCCCTGAGGTGCCTTATTGCTATTATAACTGGTTACCAACGTAATTAGAGCAGTAAAAATAAATGTTTTGTCATACCCGTGGTATATGGTCTGATATACCACGGCTGTCAGCCAATCAGCATTCAGGGCATGAACCACCCAGGTTATATTTGTAAATAAATCCAGTTTGCACATGTGCATAACTATAAATAAATCCGACAGGAGAGTTTGAGTGATGAAAGTTGGATAGAGGATCTCGTAATCTCTGTGCAAGAAACACTTGGATGAACTTCAAAAAACGAATGTTAGGCTATTTTCTGACAATTGTGCCATTCTTATGTGCCAGATGTTAAGACTACAAACCTTTATAAATGGCCAATTTGCGAGATTGACTTGTTATTTCAATAGGCATAAGGCTACTGACTAAAATGTGGGTTTATAATTGCAATTCAACTTTGCCATGATTTGTTGAGCTGGATGCAGGTAGCCTATAGCCCCTGATAGGCCAACATCTCATTTCAGGGAAAAGTGCACAATGAAACTGACATTAAATGTGGAGAATTATACATTTGCAATAGAGCTGTGACCATGATCACAACTGATAACTTCCAATTTACTTAACTAAACATGGCCATTAATAATTGCATAATAACACAAGGCTACAACAACAAACTGAAGTTATATGCTATTTATTCAATACATTTGCCAGCTCCAGGTAGGCTACACAAGTGGCACAAATTGATTTGCAATGATTCCAGTGATATCGTTATTTCAACATATTTATTGTATCAAATGGTAGCCTACAATAGCATAGAAATGAATAGCCTTCTTAATGGCAAACAGGTCCAAATGTATCATTCTCCACATTTAATTTCAGTTTCATTGTGGACTTTTTCCCATAACAGAAGCACACGAGGGAGTTCCATAACTTCCATTTCACATTTCCACTTGCGCAGTGCTCCAGACCCTAGCACTGAGCATGAGTAAAACCCTTCGCTTGATACTGTTATTCATAAGAAAAGTCAACATTAGAATGCAGTTGACTTTAAACCACCTCTGAGAATTTATCTAAAGGGCTCTAGTTCACCTAAAGTCATTTTCCAATGCTTTGTCACCGTTATATCAGTTCTAGCGCATTAATATGTTTTATGGAAAAATAATTGAAAATAGGTGTCTCCATAATGATAATCTAAATAGCCTACCTACGAAGTGCTCTCAACACACACACACATACACACGCGCACCCCCACCCCCCCCCCCAATCCCCCCCATCCGGCCCTCCTCCTCCCCACCACTCACTCAGTCAGTAACAGCCTGCTCACTGCCTGATAGTCAGCAGCAGGTCACAGTGAAATATAAATAAAACATTTAAGAGAAATGCCATGGCGGCCACGGTGCAATTCAGAAGTAGCCCAAAAACCCGCAACCATTACATTTTGCCGGAAAACTGCGGACATGGCAACCCTGCTCCTCATGATTTTAAACAATGCCTCTCTGTGAGAGTGGTTTGCGCATGCGAGCTACCTGCAGGGTAAAGGTAGGGCCAGAGATACCCCAAGCATTGCACGTTTTGTTTTTTGACCTAACACTACATATCTGATTAAAATAATCAACTAATCATCAAGCTTTGATCATTTGAATCAGCTGTGTAGTGTTAGGGCAAAAAACGTGCACCTCTTGGGGTCCTGTGGACTGAGTTTGGGAAACGCTATATTAGAGAAAGGAGGAGATAGGATTCCGACAGGCTGACCCTCAACACGGAGGCCCTTCAGGGGGTGTGTTTAGTCCCTTCCTGTAGTCTCTGTTCACCCACGACTGTGTGGCCACGCACGACTCCAACACCATCATCAAGTTTGCTGACGACACAATGGTGGTAGGCCTGATCACCGATGGTGATGAGACAGCCTACAGGGAGGAGATCAGAGACTTAGCAGTGGTGCCAGGACAACAACCTCTACCTCATCGTCAGTAAGACCAAGGAGCTGATCATGGACTACAGGAAAAAGAGGGGAGAGCACAATCCACATTGACAGGGTTGTAGTGGAGCGGGTCGAGAGCTTCAAGTTCCTTGGCGTCCACATCACTAAGGACTTAACATGGTCCACACACATCACTAAGGACTTAACATGGTCCACACACATCACTAAGGACTTAACATGGTCCACACACATCACTAAGGACTTAACATGGTCCACACACATCACTAAGGACTTAACATGGTCCACACACATCACTAAGGACTTAACATGGTCCACACACATCACTAAGGACTTAACATGGTCCACACACATCACTAAGGACTTAACATGGTCCACACACATCACTAAGGACTTAACATGGTCCACACACATCACTAAGGACTTAACATGGTCCACACACATCACTAAGGACTTAACATGGTCCACACACATCACTAAGGACTTAACATGGTCCACACACATCACTAAGGACTTAACATGGTCCACACACATCACTAAGGACTTAACATGGTCCACACACATCACTAAGGACTTAACATGGTCCACACACAACCGCACATTTATAAAGAGGGCACGGTAGTGCCTCTTCCCCCTCAGGAGGCTGAAAAGATTTGGCATGGGCTGCACCATCGAGAGCATCTTGACTGGCTGCATCACCGCTTGGTATGGGAAATGCACCGCCCTTGACTGCGAAGCACTACAGAGGGTGGTGCGGACAGCCCAGTACATCACTGAGGCCAAGCTCCCTGCCATCCAACACAACACAAATACACACACACACTTTTACACTTATCATTTGCCGTTCTGTTCTTAACTTAATCTTATTATTATCTATCCTGATGCCAAGTCACTTTACCCTGCCTTCATGTACATATCTACCTCAAATACCTTATTATTATCTATCCTGATGCCTAGTCACTTTACCCTGTCTTCATGTACATATCTACCTCAAATACCTTATTATTATCTATCCTGATGCCTAGTCACTTTACCCTGCCTTCATGTACATATCTACCTTAAATACCTTATTATTATCTATCCTGATGCCTAGTCACTTTACCCTGTCTTCATGTACATATCTACCTCAAATACCTTATTATTATCTATCCTGATGCCTAGTCACTTTACCCTGCCTTCATGTACATATCTACCTTAAATACCTTATTATTATCTATCCTGATGCCTAGTCACTTTACCCTGCCTTCATGTACATATCTACCTTAAATACCTTGTACCGCTGCACATTGATCTGGGACTGGTACCCCCTGTATATAGCTCCATTCTTGTGTATTTTATTTATTCCTCGTGTTACTATTTTAAACTCTGCATCGTTGGGAAGGGCTCATAAGCAAAGCATTTCACGGTAAACTCTACACCAGTTGTATTCGGCACGTGACAAATAAAATTAGATTTGATTTTTTGAGTTAGCGCCCAACACTCCCATTCTCTCCTTGAAGGAGAGCTCTCCTTGTCCCAGAATTGCCCAGAATGCACCACGTGGCCCATTGACGACGCAATGCAACGTACACAATGGGTGTTAATACGATTCCATTGGAGTTTCCCATCTCCTCAAAAGTACTGATAGGGCTCAGGGACATCCATTGAGGACATCCTTTGAGAAGCAAAGACAATTCCTGTCAACCTTGACCTCATCAACTTTGCTCACATGTGCCACAGATTTAATGCTGCAAAAATGTGTAATGAAATAAATTAAATGAAAGACCCTGTTTTTGTTGGCTGCTTCTGTTGATGTTGGGTGCTAGCCTCCCTCATCTGTCCTGCAGTGATGGTTCAGGAGATAACCACCACCACAAAGCCTGGAGTATCTACTGTGGCTATTCAAATTGAATTTCCTTAATGGCACAAGCAAATGAGACAAACCAGACCATGGTCTATGGCGCAAATTTGAGTTAGAACACATTGATAACTGTCAATATGATGTCTATAGATGAGGCATTTGTACAGTAGGTCATTTTTATTGTGAAGAATTGAAAAAGATTGTCCATAAACACCTTATTCAACTTAACTCACCCTGTATTATGTCTAAACAGTTAAGAGAATTCTATCCATTAATAGTGTATATTGCAATGCCTCAAATCATCCACAAACATCATCCATGTAAATTAGAGAACACATTCCTGTGAGTATTGACCTGATGTGGCCTCTCTTGTTCCATCAGAAGTACCTTCATTCTGTGCTACCTCGCCCTGACTTTTAGTCTGTGTGTGTTCCTGTTCCTGCAGGGTGTGTGTGACACTGTCCGTCTCCTCTCCATGGTTCTCCTCCTGTATGCAGGCTGCCTGGCTGATAGCCTGATCCACGAAGGAGGTGAGGGCGGCCAGCCCGATCAGGTACCCGTCCTCCCGATTCCCCTCGGCCCACGGGACGTTGTGCCTCAGCTGCACACTGCTGGGCGACGGGATGGTTTTCCCAAAGTCTATCATCCAGATGCTGGCCTTACTGGTCCAGTCGTGGACGAAGAGGAGCGAGCTGCCAATCATCTGCCAAGTGAACCAAAACATTACTGTATGACTAGTTCTGAGGCTAAATATGTTATTATGAAGTAGAGGGAGGGTCGACATGTTTAAGTGGTAAATATCAACTGACCTCGTGGGATTTGAAAAATGGGGATTCCTTCAGGGCTTCATCCAGAGCCTGAAGTCTGGAATGGTAGGCCTTCTAAGGGTGAGAACCAGGAAGGGAGAGTGCAGCGTGAAAAGGAGATATACAGTGGGGAGAACAAGTATTTGATACACTGCCGATTTTGCAGGTTTTCCTACTTACAAAGCATGTAGAGGTCTGTAATTTTTATCATAGGTACACTTCAACTGTGAGAGATGGAATCTAAAACAAAAATCCAGAAAATCACATTGTATGATTTTTAAGTAATTAATTTGCATTTTATTGCATGACATAAGTATTTGATACATCAGAAAAGCAGAACTTAATATTTGGTACAGAAACCTTTGTTTGCAATTACAGAGATCATACGTTTCCTATAGGTCTTAACCAGGTTTGCACACACTGCAGCAGGGATTTTGGCCCACTCCTCCATACAGACCTTCTCCAGATCCTTCAGGTTTCGGGGCTGTCGCTGGGCAATACGGACTTTCAGCTCCCTCCAAAGATGTTCTATTGGGTTCAGGTCTGGAGACTGGCTAGGCCACTCCAGGACCTTGAGATGCTTCTTACGGAGCCACTCCTTAGTTGCCCTGGCTGTGTGTTTCGGGTCGTTGTCATGCTGGAAGACCCAGCCACGACCCATCTTCAATGCTCTTACTGAGGGAAGGAGGTTGTTGGCCAAGATCTCGCGATACATGGCCCCTTCCATCCTCCCCTCAATACGGTGCAGTTTTCCTGTCCCCTTTGCAGAAAAGCATTCCCCAAAGAATGATTTTTCCACCTCCATGCTTCACGGTTGGGATGGTGTTCTTGGGGTTGTACTCATCCTTCTTCTTCCTCCAAACACAGCGAGTGGAGTTTAGACCAAAAAGCTCTATTTTTGTCTCATCAGACCACATGACCTTCTCCCATTCCTCCTCTGGATCATCCAGATGGTCATTGGCAAACTTCAGATGGGCCTGGACATGCGCTGGCTTGAGCAGGGGGACCTTGCGTGCGCTGCAGGATTTTAATCCATGACGGCGTAGTGTGTAACTAATGGTTTTCTTTGAGACTGTGGTTCCAGCTCTCTTCAGGTCATTGACCATGTCCTGCCGTGTAGTTCTGGGCTGATCCCTCACCTTCCTCATGATCATTGATGCCCCACGAGGTGAGATCTTGCATGGAGCCCCAGACCGTGGGTGATTGACCGTCATCTTGAACTTCTTCCATTTTCTAATAATTGCGCCAACAGTTGTTGCCTTCTCACCAAGCTGCTTGCCTATTGTCCTGTAGCCCATCCCAGCCTTGTGCAGGTCTACAATTTTAACCCTGATGTCCTTACACAGCGCTCTGGTCTTGGCCATTGTGGAGAGGTTGGAGTCTGTTTGATTGAGTGTGTGGACAGGTGTCTTTTATACAGGTAACGAGTTCAAACAGGTGCAGTTAATACAGGTAATGAGTGGAGAACAGGAGGGCTTCTTAAAGAAAAACTAACAGGTCTGTGAGAGCCGGAATTCTTACTGGTTGGTAGGTGATCAAATACTTATGTCATGCAATAAAATGCAAATTAGTTACTTAAAAATCATACAATGTGATTTTATGGATTTTTGTTTTAGATTCCGTCTCTCACAGTTGAAGTGTACCTATGATAAAAATTACAGACCTCTACATGCTTTGTAAGTAGGAAAACCTGCAAAAATCGGCAGTGTATCAAATACTTGTTCTCCCCACTGTATTTCAGATACATTATTAGAGGTGTGTGAAACCTGTACATTGTATATAATGTAGGTGATGTTGATGGTAAATGACTTACCAGGATGTGTAGATGACTCTTGGTGAAGGAGAGGAGTGCCTCAGTGACCTGGGCTGGGGTGAGCATCTTCTTAAAGTCCCGCTTTACGCTACCATTCTCCATCTAACATGGACACACAGGGACAGACACAGACTAAGGCCTAGATTCAATCAGATCAAGTGTTAATCGGCGATGGAAATGCATTCAATCTGTCAAATCGGTGAGCAGCTGCTCTTGTGATCATTGTCATGAAGCCACACCCATCCCACTCACATTAGAATTTCAGAATGAGAAAGTGTAGGCTATATAGAAATAATTATGCTCTAATTGAAAATCATTAAACGAAATAAAGAGGATTTCTATCATCCTAATGGAGGTGTAGATTACATCTCACATCCAGTGTTACAACTTGTAAACAAGGCTGCATGGGATTTCTCTTAATGCGACTCCGTGCAGCCAATGGCAATGTTTGCTTTAGGTATAATGCCAGGAGCCACTTGTGGATTTGACAGCTCTAACACAGTTCAACCTCCGACACCGTCAAAACATCAGCTATGCGGATGTTGGCTAAAGCGGAACAGATTGAATCGGGCCCTAAAACCCTGGGACAATTGTAGACCACCAACAGCATACATAACCACAGTAGGCGGCAAGTAGCTTAGTGGTTAAGAGCGTTGTGCTAGTAACCGAAAGGTCGCTGGTTCTAATCCCCGAGCCGACTAGGTGAAAAATCTGTCTGTGCCCTTGAGCAAGGCACTTAACCCTAATTGTTCCTGTAAGTCGCTCTGGATAAGAGCGTCTGCTAAAATGTAAAAAAATACATAACCCCAACATACAGTGGGGAGAACAAGTATTTGATACACTGCCGATTTTGCAGGTTTTCCTACTTACAAAGCATGTAGAGGTCTGTAAATTATATAATAGGTACACTTCAACTGTGAGAGACGGAATCTAAAACAAAAATCCAGAAAATCACATTGTATGATTTTTAAGTAATTAATTTGCATTTTATTGCATGACATAAGTATTTGATCACCTACCAACCAGTAAGACTTCCGGCTCTCACAGACCTGTTAGTTTTTCTTTAAGAAGCCCTCCTGTTCTCCACTCATTACCTGTATTAACTGCACCTGTTTGAACTCATTACCTGTATAAAAGACACCTGTCCACACACTCAATCAAACAGACTCCAACCTCTCCGCAATGGCCAAGACCAGAGAGCTGTGTAAGGACATCAGGGATAAAATTGTAGACCTACACAAGGCTGGGATGGGCTACAGGACAATAGGCAAGCAGCTTGGTGAGAAGGCAACAACTGTTGGCGCAATTATTAGAAAATGGAAGAAGTTCAAGATGACGGTCAATCACCCACGGTCTGGGGCTCCATGCAAGATCTCACCTCGTGGGGCATCAATGATCATGAGAAAGGTGAGGGATCAGCCCAGAACTACACGGCAGGACCTGGTCAATGACCTGAAGAGAGCTGGGACCACAGTCTCAAAGAAAACCATTAGTAACACACTACGCCGTCATGGATTAAAATCCTGCAGCGCACGCAAGGTCCCCCTGCTCAAGCCAGCGCATGTCCAGGCCCGTCTGAAGTTTGCCAATGACCATCTGGATGATCCAGAGGAGGAATGGGAGAAGGTCATGTGGTCTGATGAGACAAAAATAGAGCTTTTTGGTCTAAACTCCACTCGCTGTGTTTGGAGGAAGAAGAAGGATGAGTACAACCCCAAGAACACCATCCCAACCGTGAAGCATGGAGGTGGAAACATCATTCTTTGGGGATGCTTTTCTGCAAAGGGGACAGGATGACTGCACCGTATTGAGGGGAGGATGGATGGGGCCATGTATCGCGAGATCTTGGCCAACAACCTCCTTCCCTCAGTAAGAGCATTGAAGATGGGTCATGGCTGGGTCTTCCAGCATGACAACGACCCGAAACACACAGCCAGGGCAACTAAGGAGTGGCTCCGTAAGAAGCATCTCAAGGTCCTGGAGTGGCCTAGCCAGTCTCCAGACCTGAACCCAATAGAACATCTTTGGAGGGAGCTGAAAGTCCGTATTGCCCAGCGACAGCCCCGAAACCTGAAGGATCTGGAGAAGGTCTGTATGGAGGAGTGGGCCAAAATCCCTGCTGCAGTGTGTGCAAACCTGGTCAAGACCTACAGGAAACGTATGATCTCTGTAATTGCAAACAAAGGTTTCTGTACCAAATATTAAGTTCTGCTTTTCTGATGTATCAAATACTTATGTCATGCAATAAAATGCAAATTAATTACTTAAAAATCATACAATGTGATTTTCTGGATTTTTGTTTTAGATTCCGTCTCTCACAGTTGAAGTGTACCTATGATCAAAATTACAGACCTCTACATGCTTTGTAAGTAGGAAAACCTGCAAAATCGGCAGTGTATCAAATACTTCTTCTCCCCACTGTATATAACCCCAGCATATATAACCCCAGTATACATAACCCAGCATACATAACCCCAGCATACATAACCCCAACATATATAACCCCAACATATATAACCCCAGTATACATAACCCCAGCATACATAACCCCAACATATATAACCCCAACATATATAACCCCAGTATACATAACCCCAGCATGTATAACCCCAGCATATATAACCCCAGCATATATAACCCCAACATATATAACCCCAGCATATATAACCCCAGCATATAACCCCAGCATATATAACCCCAACATATATAACCCCAGCATATATAACCCCAGCATATATAACCCCAGCATACATAACCCCAGCATACATAACCCCAGCATATATAACCCCAGCATATATAACCCCAACATATATAACCCCAGCATATATAACCCCAACATATATAACCCCAGTATACATAACCCCAGCATATATAACCCCAACATATATAACCCCAGCATATTTAACCCGTATACATAACCCCAACATATATAACCCCACCATATATAACCCCAACATATATAACCCCAACATATATAACCCCAGTATATATAACCCCAACATATATAACGCCAACATATATAACCCCAGTATACATAACCCCAGCATATATAACCCCATCATACATAACCCCAGTATACATAACCCCAGTATACATAACCCCAGCATATATAACCCCAGTATACATAACCCCAGCATATATAACCCCAGTATACATAACCCCAGGATACAGTGCATTCAGAAAGTCTCCCATTCTTCTCTAGAGATCCTCTCAAACTATGTCAGGTTGGATGGGGAGCGTCGCTGCACAGCTATTTTCAGGTCTCTCCAGAGATGTTCGATCAGGTTCAAGTCTGTGCTCTGGCTGGGCCACTCAAGGACATTCAGAGACTTGTCCCGAAGCCACTCCTGCATTGTCTTGGCTGTGTGCTTAGGGTCATTGTCCTGTTGGAAGGTGAACCTTCACCCCAGTCTGAGGTCCTGAGCGCTCTGGAGCAGGTTTTCATCAAGGATCTCTCTGTACTTTGCTCCGTTCATCTTTCTCTCGATCCTGACTAGTCTCCCAGTCCCTGCCACTGAAAAACATCCCCACAGCATGATGCTGCCACCACCATGCTTCACCGTAGGGATGGTGCCAGGTTTGCATTCAGGCCACAGACGCTTGGCATTCAGGCCAAAGAGTTGAATCTTGGTTTCATCAGACCAGAGAATCTTGTTTCTCATAGTCTGAGAGTCCTTTAGGTGCCTTTTGGCAAACTCCAAGCGGGCTGTCATGTGCCTTTTACTGAGGAGTGGCTTCCGTCTGGCCACTCTACCATAAAGGCCTGATTGGTGGAGTGCTGCAGAGATGTTTGTCCTTCTCGAAGGTTCTCCCATCTCCACAGAGGAACTCTGAAGCTCTTTCAAAGTGACCATCGGGTTCTTGGTCACCTCCCTGACCAAGGCCCTTCTCCCCCGATGGTTCTGTTTGGACGGGCGGCCAGCTCTAGGAAGAGTCTTGATGGTTCCAAACTTTAAGAATGATGGCCATTGTGTTCTTGGGGACCTTCAATGCTGAATAAATGTTTAGGTACCCTTCCCCATATTTGTGTCTCGACACAATCCTTTCTCTGAGCTCTACGGACAATTCCTTCGACCTCATGGCTTGGGTTTATGCTCTGACATGCACTGTCAACTGTGGGACCATATATAGACAGGTGTGTGCCTTTCCAAATCATGTCCAATCAATTGAATTGACCACAGGTGGACTCCAATCAAGTTGTAGAAACATCTCAAGGATGATCAATGGAAATAGGATGCACCTGAGCTCAATTTCGTGTCTCATAGCAAAGGGTCTGAATACTTATGTAAATGTGATATTTCCGTTTTTAATTTTTAATACATTTGCAAACATTTCTAAAAACCTGTTTTTGCTTTGTCATTATGGGGTATTGTGTCTAGATTGATGAGGAAAAAAACAATTTAATCCATTTTTGAATAAGGCTGTAACGCAACAAAATGTGGGAAAAGTCAAGGCCTCTGAATACTTTCCGAATGCACTGTATATAACCCCAGTATATATAATCCAGGGAGGTTAGTAGCCTGAGAGACAGAGGGGTCGAGAACAGTCAGGACTTTTAAAACATCAATGATGCAGTCAATAAATAAAGACTTTGGCAAAAAACTAGATTTTTGATCTGGATGCTGATGTTTATTTCCTTCCATTATCATTTAGCCAATCAGAGGACAGCAGAGGTTTGGGCGTTGAAGCCGTGTCTCTCACCATGATGCCCTCAATCCTGAAGCCTAGTGTGGAGGTGGAGCTGGTGTTATCCCTCCACTGCAGGTAGCGCCACTTCGTCACGCCTCGCTGCTCATGTTCCTCCACCGTGGGAGCCGTCGGATCTACTTTTACCATCTTCTGGTACATATCAGTCCGCAGGGTGGGCTTGGTGTGTGATTTGGTTAATTCCTCCTCCTGGTATGTCCTGAGAGAAACCATTATGGGCAACAGTAGTTTATATTACACACAGTTACACACACACACCCGCACCAGCACCCGCACACACACACACACACACACACACACACACACACACACACACACACACACACACACACACCAGTGGTGGCTGGTGGCACTTTAAATGGGGAGGATGGGCTCACAGTAATGTCTGGAACGGAATTAATGGAATGCCTGGTATCAAACACATCAAACACCTGGTGTTCCATGTGTTTGATACAATTCCATTCACTCCATTCCTTCCATTATTTGAGCCGTCCTCCCTCACCAGACTCCTCTGATACACACACACACGTTATGTTCTTCTATCCTTGTGGGGACACAAAATGAATCCTGTTTTCCCTAAGCCCTAACCCTTACCATAACCCTTACCATAACCCAAAACCTAACTCCTAACCCTAAACCTAACCACTAACCACTAACCCCTTACCCTAACCATAATTCCAACCCTAACCCTAATTGTAACCCTAACCTTAAAACAGCCTTTGTCCTCATGGGGATTTGGGAAATGTCCCCATAAGAGATCATTTTCCTTGTTTAGGTCCCCACGAGGATAGAAGAACCAACACACACACACACACACACACACACACAGTACCTCACGCCCATCTTGCAGTCCATGATGACTGGGTTCTTCAGGCCACTCAGTAAATCCTCCAGGCGGATGTAACTGTTACCCCCCCTGGTGACCGACCCATGGTACTGCGGTACAAACGGACGGAGGGGGTCAACCATGAGGGCCTGCAGACACACAGCCTCCACCTCACTGAAACGCTTCAGCACCTCGCCCCCCTCACTCAGCTGGAAGTTACCTAGCAACACAGAGGCAGGGGAGAGATGTGATAGAGTGAGTTATACAGTACATATAAAGTGCTATAGAGATGTGTTTGTGTTGTTGAATGGACACATGCCTTGATGTCCTGCTAGCTGGACCCATGAGCTCTGCCGACGCACTGACCACTGTATCATCATCAGGAAGGTCCTCCAGGAGCGACACTGGCGTAAAGAGAATTTCCATTGTCAAATGCACTTTAAAATAGTCTACTTTCTATTATCTCTCTCCTTAGCTTCATAATGGGCAATGTGGAATAACTTGAGTCAAAATTCTGTAGGCCCACACTAAGGGGAGTGGGAAAACTCTGGTGGAACACCCATCACCCTCTGTCTCCGGTCTCCCCTATTTCCATCAGTAGGACCCATTCAAATCCTATTCAAATGTGCCCGGCTCAAGGCTCGCTTTCAAACTCATGCAAATCGCAGACAGCAGTTAGACAGAGGGGTTGAGAATGGGATGGAAATTACACACATTCTTTCATGGAGAATAAAGGCATCAATGGAAAAAATCGATACAGTTACATATATTTTGGACGATGTATTGTATCAATTTGATAATATCGCAATATTATTTTTGCTCTAGTTGGCGGTACCTGCACCAAAATAACAGTATTTTTCCTTCATAGCTTGTTCTCCATATTCTTTTTCAATATGGAGCCAATTTGTTTTCAGCACTTATATTTCCATGACTGATCAAAACTCACAATCTTATGCTCTCTCTTGTCTCTCTGCAGCAGACATATGGTGAGCAATATGTTTGGACCATATGGAATCTGAATAAAATCACAGAATTGAATTGCAATACATATAGAATGGTGAGAATCGCAATACATATCGTATCGGCACCTAAGTATGGTGATAATATCGTATTGTGAGGTCCCTGGCAATTCCCAGACCTAATATTTACAGTGTAGGCCTACAGTGGAGGAAATCAGTGTGATATTGTCTATTTGAAATACAGTGGGGAAAACAAGTATTTAGTCAGCCACCAATTGTGCAAGTTCTCCCACTTAAAAAGATGAGAGAGGCCTGTAATTTTCATCATAGGTACACGTCAACTATGACAGACAAAATGAGAAAAAGAAATCCAGAAAATCACATTGTAGGATTTTTAATGAATTTATTTGCAAATTATGGTGGAAAATAAGTATTTGGTCAATAACAAAAGTTTCTCAATACTTTGTTATATACCCTTTGTTGGCAATGACACAGGTCAAACGTTTTCTGTAAGTCTTCACAAGGTTTTCACACACTGTTGCTGGTATTTTGACCCATTCCTCCATGCAGATCTCCTCTAGAGCAGTGATGTTTTGGGGCTGTCGCTGGGCAACACGGACTTTCAACTCCCTCCAAAGATTTTCTATGGGGTTGAGATCTGGAGACTGGCTAGGCCACTCCAGGACCTTGAAATGCTTCTTACGAAGCCACTCCTTCGTTGCCCGGGCGGTGTGTTTGGGATCATTGTCATGCTGAAAGACCCAGCCACATTTCATCTTCAATGCCCTTGCTGATGGAAGGAGGTTTTCACTCAAAATCTCACGATACATGGCCCCATTCATTCTTTCCTTTTCACGGATCAGTCGTCCTGGTCCCTTTGCAGAAAAACAGCCCCAAAGCATGATGTTTCCACCCCCATGCTTCACAGTAGGTATGGTGTTCTTTGGATGCAACTCAGTATTCTTTGTCCTCCAAATACGACGAGTTGAGTTTTTATCAAAAAGTTCTATTTTGGTTTCATCTGACCATATGACATTCTCCCAATCCTCTTCTGGATCATCCAAATGCACTCTAGCAAACTTCAGACGGGCCTGGACATGTACTGGCTTAAGCAGGGGGACACATCTGGCACTGCAGGATTTGAGTCCATGGCGGCATAGTGTGTTACTGATGGTAGGCTTTGTTACTTTGGTCCCAGCTCTCTGCAGGTCATTCACTAGGTCCCCCCGTGTGGTTCTGGGATTTTTGCTCACCGTTCTTGTGATCATTTTGACCCCACAGGGTGAGATCTTGCGTAGAGCGTCAGATCGAGGGAGATTATCAGTGGTCTTGTATGTCTTCCATTTCCTAATAATTGCTCCCACAGTTGATTTCTTCAAACCAAGCTGCTTACCTATTGCAGATTCAGTCTCCCCAGCCTGGTGCAGGTCTACAATTTTGTTTCTGGTGTCCTTTGACAGCTCTTTGCTCTTGGCCATAGTGGAGTTTGGAGTGTGACTGTTTGAGGTTGTGAACAGGTGTCTTTTATACTGATAACAAGTTCAAACAGGTGCCATTAATACAGGTAACGAGTGGAGGACAGAGGAGCCTCTTAAAGAAGAAGTTACAGGTCTGTGAGAGCCAGAAATCTTGCTTGTTTGTAGGTGACCAAATACTTATTTTCCACCATAATTTGCAAATAAATTCATAAAAAATCCTACAATGTGATTTTCTGGATATTTTTTCCTCAATTTGTCTGTCATAGTTGACATGTACCTATGATGAAAATTACAGACCTCTCTCATCTTTTTAAGTGGGAGAACTTGCACAATTGGTGGCTGACTAAATACTTTTTTTCCCCCACTGTATTATCTCCAAAAGTATGGTGTATACTTTCTCTTTTCACATTCAGTTCTCAATCTCACCCTTCTCATGGTGCTCCTCTTGCTGGCAGTGTCCTCTCCTTCGCTGAAGACCTCATCGCTCTCTGCTGAGGAGCAGTTGAATGAGGAAGAGGAGGATGAGACAGAGGAGTGCATGAGCATCCTGGAGAGGATGGGATGGGGGGAAGCAGACCAGGGGGGTTCACTACAGCTCCCCTCAGAGCTCAGGCTGCTGGCACCTTCCTTCTCTCCATCCTTCCCTCTATCCCTGACACTTTCTCCTTCCGTCTTTCTATCCCCTGATCTTTCTCCTTTCATCGCTCCATCCCCTGTGCCCTCTCTGTCTATCTCTCTATCCCCTGTGCCCTCTCTGTCTATCTCTCTATCCCCTGTGCCCTCTCTGTCTATCTCTCTATCCCCTGTGCCCTCTCTGTCTATCTCTCTATCCCCTATCCTCTCTGTCTCTTTAACACCTGTCTGCTCTGCACTCTTCCTTTCTTCGCTCCACTCATTCAGCACACCTCCATCTTGCATCCCCTCTTCCTCTTCCATCTTTCTCATCCTCCCTGACCCGCTCCATCTCTTTCTTCTCTCCATCTTTTCCCATCCCTCTGTCTTTGCTGCTGGCATGCTCCCTCCCAACCTCTCCCTCTTCCTCAGTCTCCATCTCTCCTTCACGCTCCTTCTGCTCATCCTTGAATCCTTTACTATTTCACTCTCTGACCCCTCCTCCTTCTCTACATGTTCTTTTCCCCTCTCTTCTCCCCTTTCCCACACTCCACTGTCACATCTTTGAATATCCACCAAAAGGGCTTGAGTCACATGCAGTTCAGAGCCTGGTTCTGTGTCTCCCAGATGCCTGTATCTCTCTTCTGGTACTCCATCATGGTTTTGTAGTTCCAGACTGTTAGATGGTGAGTCCTGGCTAGAGAGAAGTTTGGTTTGGGGTTTCACCCCACTAAACACACTGGGTGTCCTGTCACCAATGGGCAGATGTTGGTCGACGTCATTCAAGAGTCCAAGAAATCCATCATCCTGTTCTTCATTCCCCAACTCTCCTTCTACCGTCTCCTTTTCTTTCTCCACATCCTTCATTTCATCCAGAGCTGGGGGTGTTGTGTTGTCCATCATTCCCAGGTGAAAGGGTGATATTCCAGGGGATGTAGTTATCCTGATAAGTCCACTCCAATTGTTAGTAGGCCTAGTCCTCTTTGTGAGTGTTAGATAAGTCTCCTGAGTAGAGATTATATGTTCCATATGTGAAAACATATTTATAAAATCATATACAGCACAAAACACACAGGCAAATTAAGGTAGTTGAATGGTTAAGTATAAAATTGTTAATGAAAAATTATTTCACTAACAAGAGACACATGAATAAGCTATAGCTACAACACTTTTTTTTTAAACACGTACAGGACTGACAATGCAATGACAATGTCTATTTAGGTGTTGCAATAAGGATTTTGAAATACTGATAATAAAAGTTGCTTGCAGTAGCCTACCTTGTGCATCCAACAGCATCCCCTTGATACATTTGTGGAACCCTTTATGGACCCTAGGGGTTCATTTAGTCCGTAGAAATGACACCTGTACAGTAGGTAGACTGTAGTAGGATAGGATAAGCTCTGTCTCCCTGCGTTATCCCTGATGTGGTAGTATTTTGCATGATGTGATGCAACAACATTTTCAAAACATTGTGGTAAGTGAGTGAGTGTGACTGGCAGCATGGCAGTGAACTGCAGGTTGACAGGAGTGTCTCTTGTTTGTGTGTTTCTTAGGAAATGCATCTCCGTCATCTGAATAGGGTACTCTGTCTAGTATCCAAATACAGAGGGGTTTTACTAACAGGCCTATGCTACTATAGGACATTTTAAAACATCTTAGGTGGCTTCATTAATGACATAAAATCAAAAGGTATACACTGCAATTTTTGGACAGATTGTGCTGTGAGCATGTTTTTGAGTGACAGACTGCGAAATGTAGGATGTAAATATACAAACACCAATAAAGACATTTGTAGTATTTATTACATGACAATGATGAGGAGAACATGGGAGACATAGGAATGTTTGTCAGTAACATTGCAAATATAAAGGCCGGCTCTAGCCCTTCATCTCGTGGCAAAACATTTTAGTGGCCCCCCTCTTGATGGTGTTTTAAAGTTAATTTCTTGCAATTCTACACATTTCGCCATGGGGCGGAGAGAAAAAGTAGCCATTTGATAAGAAATGTCATGTCATTAGCGGCCGGGGCCCTAAGCGACCGCTTATGTCTCTTATGTCTGGAACCGGCCCTGCAAATATATGAAAATGAGGAAGGCACTTTGTTTGTGTTATCATCCACCCTGGATGTTTCATAATACTGAGATCATCTGATATAACCCTTACTCCATTTGTGCAATACTGTAGGCTACAGTAAAATGGTCATCTTAGGTGGAGGCCTATGGTGAAATATTTCAACATTGTCAGTTTTTTGCATGAATTATCACACAATTTTAAATAAACTAAATAAAAGAGGACACAAAAAGTAATACATTCACACATATTTAAACATATAAGCAGGTTTTTAAATGTAACAAATCTTCCTATTGTTTTACAGTAACAAAGTACAAGAGGGCCCTCTCGAAATATAATACTTTGGCGCCACCTATTGGTCATTACGCAACTGGAGCTCTCCATCAGGAGCTCTCCATCAGGATATCACACAGGTTGAGGTTCCAGTCAGTGTGCTGGGGATGCTGTCTGGCTGCTTGACAACTCCCCCCCCCCCCACCCCTCCTTCTTTGAGAATGGACACTTCCTCCTGGCTCAGATGGGCCAGGAGGAAGAGTCCATTCTCAAAGCAGTAATCTGATGTGCCTCCAGTAGTGCATCTGATGAGGAGTTCTCGATTTCTGAGTGAAAAGCACACCCAAACACAACACATGATACATCTCACACAGGTGTGTGTACAAGTGTGTACTTACCTGTAGTGTCATCCTGGTCATCTTGCAGGTGTTCAGTGTCCTCGCTCTCGTCCATCCCAGCTAAGCCCCAGATGAGCCTCAGGTAGCTGAAGAAGAGGGCCAAACCCATTACTGCTGAAAGCGTTAGGAAGTTGTACAGGAAGTACCTGATGAGGGGGGAGAAGAGTTCATATTTTCATATATATATTTATATATATATATATATATATATATATATATTTTTTTTTTTGTAAATCAAAATGTAAATGATTTAATATGAGGTAAAGCTAACCTTATGCCAGTGAAGTGAGCATGAATGTAGAGCTGTGCTGAGTAGATCTGCACCCTCTGAGACTGGATCTCAATGATGGCTCCTATAGAGGGGGCATACTACAGAGAGAGAGGGATTAGCCCTGTACACACACATACACACACTCATACACACACACACACTCACACACACACACTGGGCGGCCAGAGACTCACAGAATCCTCTCTGTATTGGGAGAAGAGCTCCACCTCTACCAGCTGTCTCTGGTCCGCAGTCTGGAGCAGGCCAGAGCGATACCGCAGCATCGTCTGACAGGAACAGGACACGGAGAAGGGGGGGGGCTGCCTTACCTGAGTCAGAGAGGCAGACCAACAAGGTGGTCAATTTACCAACACAGGACAATCAGAGTCCATTATTGGTTACTGTGAGTATTTAAATGTGCAGCTGATTTGTACAGATTCAGAAGATATTGATTAATCCCCATTGCTGGGCAATTTGGTTGCAGCAGTATAAAAAAATCAAACATATACTCAAATCACACCACACCAATACAGATCAAAACAGATTGTTAAAAAGTGCAAAGCAGAGTTAATATGCAAATGTTAGATGCACAAGCCCAACACAATACTTGATACTGCCAACACTTGACAACTCACAGATCGTGCTGAATAGGTCACAGGCTGCCCCTGTCTGGAGTAACAGGAAATCTTGACCATGAACATTCCTGATTGGCTGGCAACTCGGGCATCTCCAGATCCAGGGAGATCTGATAGGGCTGGCTGTATGTCATCGCCTTCAGTGGGAGGGTTCAAATGAGTTCAAACATCATAATGAAAACCTCCCAATTCATTCTGTTGATTGGCAAGACTTTTCTATACGTTACATACGCTAAGGCTAATGAAGGTGGATGGATAAACAGTGTATAAAGGATCACCTGGTTCTTGCCATTCCTCAGGAGAGAGACGTAGGCAGTGGGGAAGGAGCAGTGAAGGGAAGCTGAGTCACGTCGCTGCAAGGAAGGAAATATGATCCAATTGCACGTATGTACTGAGGGTGGAGAGACAGAGAGAGAGAGACGAGAGATGAGAGAGAGAGAGAGAGAGAGGAGAGAACGAGAGAGATGAGAAGAGAGAGAGAGACGCAGTAGATCGCATACGAGAGAGAGAGAGAGACGAGTGAGAGAGGAGAGTGATCGACATAGATGAGAAGAGGCACATGTAGAGCAGACTGAGAGAGCGCAAGAGAGAGAGAATAGGAGAGAAGAGAGAGAAGAAGAGAAGAGAAGAGAGAGAAGAGAGAGAGCAGAGAGAGAGACGAGAGAGAAGAGACGAGAGAGAGCAGAGACAGAGAAGAAACGAGAGAGAGAGAGAGCAGACAGACAGACAGACAGACAGACAGACGACAGACAGACAGACAGACAGACAGACAGACAGACAGAACAGACAGACAGACAGAAAGACAGACAGACAGACAGACAGACAGACAGACAGACAGACAGACAGACAGATAGATAGATAGATAGATAGAGTGTGTGTGAGATAGAGAGAGAGACAGACAGACAGAGAGAGAGAGAAAGAGAGAGAGACAGAGAGAGCATGTGTGTGAGAGAGAGAGTCTGTATGCGTGAGAGAGTGAGTGTGTGAGACACACTTGCAGTAGTAGTGGACAGGTGAACTGTAGGTGGCTAGGGGCATGTATGAGTAGTAGAAGCTCCCGTAGAGGAAGATGGTGGTCAGTAGCAACAGTCCCAGAGCACACAGTAACAACGCTCCCTGTAACACCATCTTACACGCCTGCAGCGTTACCGTCATAACCGTGTCCTGGAGCCAGAGCAGTGCAGGTCCAACTGGATCACCTGACCCATGATGACCTCCAGTGCCCATAGGTTCACTTCCTGTGTCCATCTCTGGAGTGTGGATGATCTGTTCTGATGCGCGATAGAACTTCTCGGGTCAAGCTATCCTGTCAGGTCCCCATGAGTCTTCCTTTTAGAGTGCTTGATCTATTATATGAACAGGGAGACCTATAGTGCATTCGTAAAGTATTCAGACCCCTTCCCTTTTTCCACATTTTGTTACGTTACAGCCTTATTGTCACGGTTTCGGCCGAGGCTGCTCCTCCTCCTGGTTCGGGCAGGCTTCGGCGGTCGTCGTCCCCGGAGTACTAGCTGCCACCGATCTATGTTTCATGTTCGTTTGGTTTGGTCTTGATGTTGTACACCTGTGTCTAGTTAGTCCTCGTTAGTGTTCTATTTAAGTCTCGTTGTGTGTGTCTGTGTTTGTGTGTGATTGCGCTTCTGTTACGTGTTGGAGTTACTATTTCCCTCCAGTGTTTTGGAGTGGTTACTTTGCACATGTTTGTGCGCCGTTTATTTTGTCGCCTGTGTGCGCCGTTGTTTCGCCTTCGGGCTTATTTTGGTTTTGTGTGTATATTGCACTAAAGCCTTTGGACTGAGCCTCTGCGTCCTGCGCCTGATTCTTACACCACACCCACCTTCAGCACCTTATGACACTTATTCAAAAAAAAATTATCCCTCATCAATCTACACACAATACCCCATTATAAAAAACAGAAATACCTTATTTACATAAGTATTCAGGCCCTTTGCTATGAGACTCGAAATTTAGCTCAGGTGCATCCTGTTTCCATTGATCATCCTTGAGATGTTTCTACAACTTGATTGGAGTCCACCTGTGGTAAATTCAATTGATTGGACATGATTTGGAAAGGCACACACCTGTCTATATAAGGTCCCACAGTTGACAGTGCATGTCAGAGCAAAAACCAAGCCATGAGGATGAAGGAATTGTCCGTAGAGCTCCGAGACAGGATTGGGGAAGGGTACCAAAAAATGTCTGCAGCATTGAAGGTCCCCAAGAACACAGTGGCCTCCATCATTCTTAAATGGAATAAGTTTGGAACCACCAAGACTCTTCCTAGAGCTGGCAGCCCGGCCAAACTGAGAAATCGGGGGAGAAGGGCCTTGGTCAGGGAGGTGACCAAGAACCCGATGGTCACTCTGAAAGAGCTCCAGAGTTCCTCTGTGGAGATGGGAGAACCTTCCAGAAGGACAACCATCTCTGCAGCACTCTACTGTGAGGGACATTTTTATTGTCTGAAGAGATAGCCTTGAATTGTACACAGCATCTCCTCTCACTCTATCTTGTTTAGTGCAGGTGACTGTGACCTCCTCCTCAGACCAATTGTCAGTATGCCCAGAACATTGCTCTGGGGACCAAAGGAGTATCTCAGTTTCAAGGTCCCAGCTTTGAAAGAGGTATCAGTCGTGAGGTATCAGTCGTGAGGTATCAGTCAGTCACATGCAGGAACCAACGTTAATAATGAATAATGAATAATGTAAACCTCTCCGGCCGTGATAATAAAGAGTGATTCATTTAATATTGACTTCAGGTGTCTTATGGTGTTGAATTTCCACCACAATCTTGGCGTCACGAACCCAATCAGTGATTCCACCGGTGGCATCCCAGTGAAGGTCTGCGAGGAAACACTGGTGGCACATTCCGCGTGAAGGCGTGAGGGAAATTCAAGTCTGACCAACGACGATGTGGACCCGCCCAGACCAGACTTTCACTGTGAGCTGCCCAGGGGAAGACACCTGATCCGCGAACCTCTGAGGGACACGTCTACTGAATTTCAGTAAGTCCATTTCAATGAATTTGTATAAAACATAATTAAACAATTAAAATAAAACTAACCATAAAAAGGAAGTAAGGTACCATAGTCTTAAGAATGCTATAGCTAGTCTTAGGAGAAGGCTAGAGTGAGGGCAGAAAAAGCCCCACTGACAATTGTTTGTAGGCATTTATGAGAAGTGTCTACGTGGTCTGAGAACCACTGATAATAGCACAAGGTGTTATTGAGAACGAGGTGTTATTCTATATGTTTAGGAAGTAGCAGCAAGACTATAGAGTCTACAGAGATTATAGAGACTATATAGACTAGAGACTATAGAGAGTATAGACTGAGAGGTTATAGAGACTATAGAGAGTATAGACTGAGAGGTTATAGAGACTATAGAGACTATAGACACTCAGAGACTATAGAGAGTATATGGACTATAAAGAGCACCGTTGAAGATACATACAGTGCCTTCGGAAAGTATTCAGACCCCTTGACTTTTTCCACATTTTGTTATGTTACAGCCTTATTCTAAAATAGATTAAATAAATAAAAATCCTCAGCAAATAAAAAATCCTCAATGCCTGGACAATACCCCATAATGACAAATCAAAACAAGTTAAAAAAAATTAGCGAATTTAGTAAAAATAAAAAACAGAAATACCTTATTTACATCAGTATTCAGACACTTTGCTATGAGACTCGAAATTGAGCTCAGGTGCATCCTGTTTCCATTGATCATCCTTGAGATGTTTCTACAACTTGATTGGAGGCTACCTATGGTAAATTCAATTAATTGGACATGATTTGGAAGGCACACAATTGTCTATCAAAGTTCCCACAGTTGACAGTGCATGTCACAGCAAAAACCAAGCCATGAGGTTGAAGGAATTGTCCGTAGAGCTCCGAGACAGGATTGTGTCGAGGCACAAATCTGGGGAAGAGTACCAAAACATTTCTGCAGCATTGACGGTCCCCAAGAACACAGAGGCCTCCATCATTCTTAAACTGAAGAAGTTTTGAACCACCAAGATTCTTCCTAGAGCTGGCCGCCCGACCAAACTGAGCAATCGGGGGAGAAGGGCCTTGGTCAGAGAGGTGACCAAGAACCCGATGGTCACCCTGACAGAGCTCCAGAGTTCGTCTGTGGAGATGGGAGAACCTTCCAGAAGGACAACCATCTCTGTAGCGCTCCACTAATCAGGCCTTTATGGTAGAGTGGCCAGACGCAAGCCACTCCTCAGTAAAAGGCACATGACAGCCTGCTTGGAGCCAAAAAGAACCTAAAGACTCTCAGAGAAACAAGATTCTCTGGTCTGATGAAACCAAGATTGAACTCTTTGGCCTGAATGACAAGCGTCACATCTGGAGGAAACCTGGCACCATCCCTACTGTGAAGCATGGTGGTGGCAGCATCATGCTGTGGGGATGTTTTTCAGCGGCAGGGACTGGGAGACTAGTCAGGATTGAGGCAAAGATGAACGGAGCAAAGTACAAAGAGATCCTTGATGAAAACCTGCTCCAGAGCGCTCAGGACCTGACTGGGGCGAAGGTTCACCTTCCAACAGGACAATGACCCTAAGCACATAGCCAAGACAATGCAGGAGTAGCTTCGGGACAAGTCTCTGAATGTCCTTGAGTGGCCCAGCCAGAGCCCAGACGTGAACCCGATCGAACATCTCTGGAGAGACCTGAAAATAACTGTGCAGCAAAACTCCCCATCCAACCTGACAGAGTTTAAGAGGATCTGCAGAGAAGAATGGGAGAAACTCCCCAAATACAGGTATGCCAAGCTTGTAGTGTCATACCGAAGAAGACTCATTTACATTTAAGTCATTTAGCAGACGCTCTTATCCAGAGCGACTTACAAATTGGTGCATTCAACTTAGGATAGCCAGTGGGACAACCACTCCTTTGTTTTTTGTTGTTGTTGTTTTTATGGGGGGGGGGGGGGGGGGGGGGGTGTAGAAGGATTACTGTTATACTATTCCAGGTATTCCTTAAAGAGGTAGGGTTTCAAGTGACTCAGGAAGGTGGTCAGTGACTCCGCTGTCCTGGCGTCATGGGGGAGCTTGTTCCACCATTGGGGTGACAGAGCAGCGAATAGCTTTGACTGGGCTGAGCGGAAACTGTGCTTCCATTGAGGTAGGGGGGCTAGCAGGCCAGAGGTGGATGAACGTAGTGCCCTCGTTTGGGTGTAGGGTCTGATCAGAGCCTGAAGGTAAGGAGGTGCCGTTCCCCTCACAGCTCCGTAGGCACCATGGTTTTGTAGTAGATGCGAGCTTCAACTGGAAGCCAGTGGAGTGTGCAGAGGAGCGGGGTGACATGAGAGAACTTGGGAAGGTTGAACACCAGACGGGCTGCAGCGTCCTGGATAAGTTGTAGGGGTTTAATGGCACAGGCAGGGAGCCCAGTCAACAGCGAGTTGCAGTAATCCAGACGGGAGATGACAAGTGCCTGGATTAGGACCTGTGCCGCATTCTGTGTAAGGTAGGGTCGTACTCTGCGAATGTTGTAGAGCATGAACCTGCAGGATCAGGTCACCGCTTTGATGTTAGTGGAGAACGACAGGGTGTTTCCCAGGGTCACGCCAAGGTTCTTTGCACTCTGGGAGGAGGACACAGTGGAGTTGTCAACCGTGATGGCAAGATCATGGAGCGGGCAGTTTCCCCCGGGAGGAAGAGCAGCTCCGTCCTGCCGAGGTTCAGCTTGAAGTGGTGATCCGAAATCCACACTGATATGTCTGCCAGACATGCAGAGATGCGATTCGCCACCTGGTTATCAGAAGGGGGAAAGGAGAAAATGAATTGTGTGTCGTCTGCGTAGCAATGATAGGAGAGACCATGTGAGGATATGACAGAGCCAAGTGACTTGGTGTATAGAGAGAATAGGAGAGGGCCTAGAACTGAGCCCTGAGAGAGATTCTCGCCATGCCACCTGGTAGGAGCGACCTATCAGGTAGGACGCAATCCAAGAGTGAGCAGCGCCGGAGATGCCCAACTCGGAGAGGGTGGAGAGGAGGATCTAAAAGGCCTAGAAGGTCTAGAAGGATAAGAGCAGAGGAGAGAGAGTTAGCTTTAGCAGTGCGGAGAGCCTCCGTGACACAGAGAAGAGCAGTCTCAGTTGAATGACCAGTTTTGAAACCTGACTGGTTTGGATCAAGAAGGTCATTCTGAGTTAGATAGCAGGAGAGTTGGCTAGAGACGGCACGCTCAAGAGTTTTGGAGAGAAAAGAAAGAAGGGATACTGGTCTGTAGTTGTTGAAATCGGAGGGATCAAGTGTAGGTTTTTTGAGGAGGGGTGCAACTCTCGCTCTCTTGAAGACGGAAGGGACATGGCCAGCGGTCAAGGATGAGTTGATGAATGAGGTGAGGTAATGGAGAAGGTCTCCAGAAATGGTCTGGAGAAGAGAGGAGGGGATAGGGTCAAGCGGGCAGGTTGTTGGGCGGCCGGCCGTCACAAGTTGCAAGATTTCATCTGGAGAGAGAGGGGAGAAAGAAGTCAAAGCATAGGGTAGGGCAGTGTGAGCAGGACCAGCGGTGTCATTTAACTTAATAAATGAGGATCGGATGTCGTCAACTTTCTTTTTTAAATGGTTGACGAAGTCATCCACAGAGAGGGAGGAGGGATGGGGAGGAGGAGGAGGATTCAGCAGGGAGGAGAAGGTGGCAAAGAGCTTCCTAGGGTTAGAGGCAGAGGCTTGAAATTTAGAGTGGTAGAAAGTGGCTTTAGCAGCAGAAACAGAGGAAGAAAATGTAGAGAGGATGGAGTGAAAAGATGACAGATCCGCAGGGAGTCTAGTTTTTCTCCATTTCCGCTCGGCTGCCCTGGGCCCTCTTCTGTCAGCTCGCAATGAGTCGTCAAGCCACGGAGCAGGAGGGGAGGACTGAGCCGGCCGGGAGGATAGGGGACATAGAGAGTCAAAACATGCAGAAAGGGAGGAGAGGAGGGTTGAGGAGGCAGAATCAGGAGATCGGAGGGAGAAGGATTTAGCTGAGGGAAGAGATGATAGGATGGAAGAGAAGAGAGTAGCGGGAGAGAGAGAGCGAAGGTTGCGACGGCACATTACCATCTGAGTAGGGGCAGAGTGAGTAGTGTTGGAGGAGAGCGAGAGAGAAAAGGATACAAAGTAGTGGTCGGAGACTTGGAGGGGAGTTGCAGTGAGATTAGTAGAAGAACAGCATCTAGTAAAGATGAGGTCAAGCGTATTGCCTGCCTTGTGAGTATGGGGGGACGGTGAGAGGGTGAGGTCAAAAGAGGAAAGGAGTGGAAAGACTTGAGGATGGGTGTAGTCACTGCCAAAGGTGCTTCAACAAAGTACTGAGTAAAGGGTATGAATAGTTATGTAAATTTAATATTTCAGTTTTTAAAAAATATATAAATTAGCAAACATTTCTAAAAACCTTTTTTTGCTTTGTCATTATGGGGTATTGTGTGTAGATTGATGAGGGGGGAAATAACAATTTAATCAATTTTAGAATAAGGCTGTAACATAACAAAATGTGGAAAAAGTCAATGGGTCTGAATACTTTCTGAATGCACTCTATATGTGAGGGCTTATGAGAAGAGGCTAGTGTAACCAAACTACATCAGATGATGAGATGAGAGAAGTTTGTCAAGATAGAGAGTTTGGAGAATACAGAATATTCCTAAAAAGCTGATGTATGAAGGACCTAATTCAACAATCGACACTAATTTTACAAAAATATACCAACATTAACATGAAATTACACTTTTAATATTGCTATTAAATGATACAACTGGGTGGAAAGATATAGTCCCATATGAATAAACTCTGACTGTTGCTGACATAGAGAGCACCCTGCTAAAGCATTACAACTCACCTCCAAATGTCTCAATGACTTCGGATATTGGTGTAGAGATAGAATTGGGCTACTGTTTCAATAACTAATTTGAGAACAGCAGTAAAAGTTGTCCACCTTCTCCCAACTTCTAGAGCGTTTATTGCAGCACAAATAAAATGATATAACACTGCGTCAGTCCCTTTATAGACAAGCTCTCCAATAGGCTACTGAGATAGAAAAAAGCACCGGATGGGTCACATCGCTTACGGAAGGTTACAGTTTCAAATTACTTTTTTAAATGTAAATGAAACTTCATAATGTATAAGGTTGATTTTGCAAATACGGGCGCTTTTGGATGTTAGATGTTTTTGAAAATGAAACCTCTTGAAACTGCTTTTTATCTAGCTGAATATTTTCTTCACTCTGCCTGGAAGCAAGATCTAATAGTGGCTGAGACCATACTATTTAAGAATATAAAGATTTTTATCGGTTTCCCCAAATACCAGAGGAGAAATGTCATTACCACCACATCATAAAATGTGTTATTATATATAACATTTCAAATGTTTATTTTTTAATTATGTTTTTTTTTACTATTTGGAAGTTTTCTTAATTATATATATTCATCATTGTCATGTCTAAATGTCCATATTTGCCTTGATGATACTCAGAAACATGTATTTACCACATCAAAATCTTAATATTTTACATTATTTTAGGAATTATCTTAAGAGCAAGCATATAAGGTTCACTTATGGGAAAAATAATCTATATCAAGTGTAATTTCATACACCTTTTCCTCAACAATATGTACCGTGATGGTAATGACTTAGCGTTGTGGTAATGACAGTGTGGTGGAAATGACATTTCATATAAAACAACTGATGAAAAATACCATTAAACATTTTAATATCACAGTTGAACATGTTTAATTTTATTGAAGATATAGAACACACCATTCAAAACCTAAAAAAACAAAGGTTACATGCCTCAAGAACTTAAAGCATATTTTAGAACAATTTTGTGATTCAATGCATTAGGCAGAAATACATGTACAAGGTTGGAAACACTGGTTGACATTAAACAAATGATTGTTCACTGGTTACAGTCTATTGATTCAGACAGGTGTGTGCTCACTCAAGATTAGGTTTTGCCCTTAATGCTTAACGAGAGAGCAAATTTCCTCCCAGACTGCGCCATCAAGCATCATATGTTGTTTTGTCACTGGATGAGGCTCAGGGACAAGCCCAAGCACATTCTCTGGTTGGTACCATACAATGTCCTCTCTCATAGGCCAAAACAATAGATTGGCTCCCACACGACTCATCAGCTTGACTAGAGCGCAGCTCTCTGCATCATCATCTTGTATAATACCAGGGTAAGGGTCTTCATTATATTTCACAACACACCACTTTCCAATCAGTCCCTCATGTATGTCTGCAATGGGCTGTATTGAGCTAGGAGATGGCTGTGGTGCTGTGTAGGTTGAAGTGGAAGGTTGTGCTTTGTTTGCCTCTGTTTGTTGAATTATCACGGTCTGTGGGCCAAAACAATCACATAGATGTGGAGTCATTCGAGGGGCAGGTAGGTCATCATTCTGTAGCTGTAAGACTTCAGGTGAGTGTGGTGGTGTGTTCCTTGACAGGTATGACTCCATAATCACTATTTTCTGGATAGTTGATCTTCTGTTTCTTTGGTTTATTTTCCTTTACATACTTTCCCCCCCTTTTTTTCTCACTGGTAAAGTTGTGAGATGGGGTTCAGTTATCCACTTTCTTTTCTATTGAGGTATCTTCCTTTTTGTTTCTTAAGATACTCTTGGTATCTTATAGGATCTTGTTTGATTTTGTTTATATATGTCCTTGTCCTCTCCTTGGTTGATTTAGGGGGAATCTTATAGAAAATAAATAATGAAAGTCAGTAACAACCATATGAATAGACATCAAAATCACTCAATAATCTTAACATGATACAACATGTAATGGTCTTATTTAGCAAATACGTGTTCAATTTCAACTGAACCATGATCATATATGTAATGTGTGTGTCTTTTCAGGTATTAAGGTAAGTAAAAATTGATTAACTAATACATTTTGTCATTACCACCATATTATGTCCTTACCATCACAGTTCATTATGTGGTGGGAATGACATTTTTACAGTATTTGGTCATAAATAGCAGGGATTCTATCATGCGAACTCCAAATTTGAATCTCTCCATGACGTCCATGTGCTCCACTGTCACTATTCATATCCATGGTAACCAAGTACACAAACCTTTGAAAAAACGTTATTATCATGTAATTTGCTCGTCGTGGTGGTAGTACTAGTGACACTATACTAGAGAACTGTATTATATTTTTAAAAATAAGAAACAAATGGCTTTTGCACATCTAATATGTATATAGTTTCCATTTATTTTACTATTTTTTTAAACAGGTGCATTCAATATTTTCTAATTATCAAGACTTTTGTAAGTGTAATACATAGCAGAATATCACAAGTCTGTGTGTGAGACAGGACAAAGTTGCGGTTGTTGAGTAATATTTTGGATGTAGAAATATTTCACAATTTGGCACCAAGTCTGAGCCAGTCTCTTCACAATAGGATATTACACAATTTCTTGTCTTTGGAATGGATATTAATTCAAATATTATATCTACAAATCACCTGCCAATAACTACTCATTAATGTAGATCGGTCAGCCAGTCACAATTTACCCATGATACATTGCGGGTTTGATCCTCTCGAACACGGCCATTGTAGCCATTGTGTAACCATTTCTATTTGGGGCGGTCTTCTGATTTGTTGTCGCATTGATAGGTAACTGGGAAAAACAAACATCCCGTTTTATAATCTCACCGTCCACCCTCCGTTGGAGTTGTTTTGCTCTACAGACAGACGGGTAAACATGGACGTCGGATTTCGGCACCCCGTTCTCCTTTGCCTAACCCTGGCGGTTTTGGGCTCGGTTCTGGCTGATTTGGATGGCCCTTTGATGGGGGCACCCGGGTCTGCCGTCCGTGTGTCGGAAAATGACCCAGGTTTGAAGAAGGCACTGAAATTTGCAGAAGAGCGCTATAACAAGGGGTCCAATGCGATGCACGTTCGCAGAATTAGCAAGATCCTCTCTGCCAGTAAACAGGTAGACTACAGTCTTGTGAAAATGTATATTTGTTTATTATTATTTTTTATCTCATAACATGTGCTATGTAAATAAATCTGTTATTAGCCTAAAATCAAGTGTATGTCCATTGTGATTGTAGGCCATCACAGATTTCAGTTCGTGAGATAATGCCACTGCCTACGTCAGAGCGCACCAACCTGTTCTAGTGCGTCTGAACTGCATGACATCTGTGTAGCTCAGCCTAAATTGTATAGGCCTTTAACTCTACTGCAGCCCAACCAAGCACTCTAATATTTAACAATGATTTCAGTTAAGTTTTCCACATTATCAACTAAGCCTACAATTTAAAAAATGCTGCTTTTCATACTGCCTAATGACTAACCTGTATCCACATTACATTTGATGTCCACAGGAATAATGCCAGTGTCCTATACATGTAGTTCAACTAATCTAACTACATTTTGAAGTAGTTTGGTGGTAGTCTACGTAGTGCTTTCGAGTAGTTAATTACTTTTTTGCAATGTAGCTAACTACTTGAACTACACTAATTTTTTTGCAAAAATAAAATGTGGGTGAAGTAGGCAAGAATTTCCTTTCTTTTCCGGCATCAGATCTGCCAAATGATCACGTGAAACAGCCTATTAAACACAAACTGTTTCACGTGATCATTTGGCAAGTCTGATGCCGGAAAATAAATTCTTGCCTACTTCACCCACATTTTATTTTAGCAAAAAAATTAGTGTAATTCAAGTAGTTAGCTACATTGCAAAGAAGAATTAAGCTCTGCGGTTGTTGTTTTGGCATCTAGCCTACAATTTAGCTCTGACGTCACTTTCAAGACCAATCCAGTAATTATGGCATTTATAGGCCTAGCTAAACGGTCTGATTATGCTGGAAATTGCAGGTCTCTAATTCAGCTTGTCTAGCGGAGACAATAGGTGTCACGGATCCCCCCGGTACTGCTGCTCATTCCGTTCACCAGCTTCGGAGGTCTACCTCACCGGCCTTCTAGGTGTCACTGAACTAGGTCATTACCACCAACCCCGGACTGTCTTGTCTCATTAAGCACACCTGGTTCCCATTCCCCCTGATTAGTAAGTGTATATGTGCCCTCTTTTCCCCATTGTCCTTGTCGATAATTTTCTCATGTCCGTTGGTCTCGTGAGTACCGTGTATTGTGCTCTTGTTGTTAACGGGTTTCATCCCGTGTATTGTGTAGAGGTTACACCTCACTTTTTGTTTGGGTTACATCCTTTTGTGTAACACATGTTAGGTGGCATAAAATAAACCCCTAAAACGTATTCCTGCGCCTGTCTTCTAATCATTATACAACGTGACAATAGGTTTGTTGAGACAGATACCAGTGTTGGGGAAGTTACTCAAGAGTTTACCAAGCTAACAATTACTACTGTTGATGATCACAAGTTTACTGGAGAACGGAGACCAAGTAGAGACTTTCGGACAAGGTGGATGATTGTATAATATAAGGCAGTTTATTCAGAGGTAAAGATATCTGAAAATAGCGTGCACGGACCCGTTCGTCAACCTCGTAGGGAGATATCTGAGAGCGCGCCCCAAAACATTGTGTGCTGACATTTTATACAATAAAATAAAGTAGGTTGATTCTAGTAGTTCCGATCTTCCGATTGGTCCTGATGAGTTGGTCGAGGTCATCTCCATTGCATTGGCTCTGAGTCGGGTTCTCTGTCTTCAGATGTTCAGCCTGACAGAAGGGGTTTTTTGTGTGTGTGTGCTTAACAATGATGATGTATGTGTGTGTGTGTATGTGTGTGTGTGTGTGTGTGTGTGTGTATGTGTGTATGTTTAACAATGATGATGTGTATGTGTGTGTGTGTGGGGGGGTGTGTGTATGTCCTCAGAGCAATAACTCGTGAGTTTGGGAGAACTTGAGAGACCTATGGCGTGGGTGTTGTCCATAGCCACCTGCTGATAAGGCCGACAAGATAGAAGTCTTTGTGCATTGTATTAAGTCCAAAGGCCCCAACACAAGATGGGTTATGCACAAGATTTTAGTCAGACCAAGCTATAACATAATATATTTACCACGACACTACACACTAAAATAAGTTAAGCTAAACTAAAAAGGTACCCTTAAGAAACATAGCTTACTGAACTAAAGTTACTCTGAACTAAAGTTACTACTTCATGATAAATTATCATATCTGAAATGTCAGACTACAAATTGCAAGAACAAATCACTTTGGGGTCATGTTAACAGAATGTAATTTAGCCTATTAAAAACGAAGTTACACATTCTGCTAACATACGACCCCAAAGTGATTTGTTCTTGCAATTTGTAGTCTGACATTTCAGATTATATATGATAATTTTTCATGAAGTAGTTTGGATGTAGTGAAGTACTTTTTCAGAGTAACTTTAGTTCAGTAAGCTATGTTTCTTAAGGGTACCTTTTTAGTTTAGCTTAACTTCTTTGTGTGTAGTAATTGTTAGCTTGGTAAACTACCTTTCCAAGGTAACTTCCCCTACACTGGTCTCGGACTCAACAAACCTATTGTCACGTTGTATAATGATTAGAAGACAAGCGCAGGAATACGTATTAGGGGTGTATTTTACTCCACCTAACACAAACACATATCAAAGGGATGTAACCCAAACAAAGAGCGAGGTGTAACCTCCACACGGTACTCACGAGACTAACGGACAATTATCAACAAGGACAATGGGGAACAGAGGGCATATATATACACTTACTAATCAGGGGGAATGGGAACCAGGTGTGCTTAATGAGACAAGACAGTCCGGGGTTGGTGGTAATGATCTAGTTCAGTGACACCTAGAAGGCCGGTGAGGTAGACCTCCGGAGCTGGTGAACGGAATGAGCAGCAGTACCGGGGGGATCCGTGACACCTATTGTCTCCGCTAGACAAGCTGAATTAGAGACCTGTAATTTCCAGCATAATCAGACCGTTTAGCTAGGCCTATAAATGCCATAATTACTGGATTGGTCTTGAAAGTGACGTCAGAGCTAAATTGTAGGCTAGATGGCAAAACAACAACTGCAGAATTTTTTTTTTTTTTTTTTTTTAAAGAGGCCTACCTTCACTGTGTATTGACTGTCTTGTAGCTGGTGAACGGTATCCGATACAGCATCATGGTGGAGCTAAGTAACACCCAGTGTAAGAAGGCTGCCAGACTGAGGACCTGTGACTTCTACCCAGAGGAACACAACCTGAAGGTGAGGCCAGTATGTGTGGGTCTGTTTGTTTTTCTGTCTTGGGATGATAACAGTGTGGGTTGTTGGAGGTAAAGTACAGCTAAACTAATATCAGAGACCTCCTCATCAAATAAAATAAAAACTCAAAGTTTTGCAATAGTGAACATTGGCAATACCTAATATAAATAAACTGGCAACACTGAGTATCCAGTATCAAGGCCATTGTGTGTATCTGGGTCTACAGGAGGTTATTATTCTGTCCGTCTGTTCAGCTCGCCCTTCCGCTAGTCATGTGACCAAGACCTTAAGATAAATAACTTCTCATGACTTGGATTTGACACACTGTTACTGCAACTATGTGCACAACCAGACCAGTTCCGTTCCCCCTGGTCCTCTGTAGCTCAATTGGTAGAGCATGGCGCTTGTAATGCCAAGGTAGTGGGTTCGATCCCCGGGACCACCCATACGTAAAAATGTATGCACACATGACTGTAAGTCGCTTTGGATAAAAGCGTCTGCTAAATGGCATATTATTATTTGTTCTGCCTGTGTATTTGTTTTCATGACTTAGCATAAACTTAATCAGAAATGTCTCCAAGGTCAAGGGAACAAAGTGTTCCTAGTGGTCACCCCTCTGCTTCATTTCTGTATAGGTTCAGAAATAGACTGTTGTTGACGGAGGAAATTAGTTATTATTGTTAACATTAGGCCACATGCAAAGGACATGTACTGTATGTTCCCATGCTATTGAACATCTAATTTAATTTGACGTGAATCATTTTAAACAGGCATTTCTCTAAAGCGCACATAACAATACATTACGTTCTAATACACCGTCTATAAACAAGTCATGAACACAGCAGCCCAATAAAACAAACACAGATTATCTCACTAACCATGTTCTCTCCGCTTATGTGTTCTCTGTCAGACGGAGGTGTGTGTGTTTGAGGTCTGGGACATTCCCTGGGAGAGCAAGTCCACCCTGCTCAAACAGAAGTGCCAGCCAGCAGGTTAGTGTCATAGGTTCAACTGTGGGAACTAAATTGACCTTTGTGTGTTTATTTGTTTCAGGATTGTTTATATAAATACTCATAGCTACATCTAATAGTTTTTCATAATACTTGGTTTCCAGTTGATCCAAAACCAGTTGAGACCAACAAAGTTGAATTTCTGCCCCTCTCCACCAAACCAGTTGAGGTAATAGAAAACATAGCGTTTGTTGTATGTGTGTTTGAGTTTCTCTTTTATTCTGTATGTGTATATATTTCATTTACTTGTCAATAATCAACTTCTCTTTTGTGACAGGAGTCAGTGGATTCCGTGGAGCTTCTGGGTCAGTTCAAAGAGTTCATGGTCAGATACAATAGGACTTACAGCAGCCAAGAGGGTAAGCGATAAATGTAAATCCATAATTTTACACAATACCGTCCATCCAACTCCACAGATGAGATGGTAAAACATCTAAACATAACGTTTTTGTCTGACCTCTGACCTTTGCTGCTACAGAGGCTGACCGGCGGCTGCGTATTTTCCATGAGAACATGAAGACCGCTGAGAAGCTCCAGTCTCTGGACAAGGGCACAGCTGAGTACGGGGTCACCAAGTTCAGCGACCTCACAGGTGTGTGTGCATGTGTGAGAATGCAGATTAACAAGCCTGACACAATTCCAGAACAACCATTGAGCGTGCCGGAGAGCTCACTGTCTGCCCTCTCTGGAGCAACAGCACATCCTGTGTGTGATTCTGTCACAGTTTGAAACATGTTCCCTTGCAAAGAGAGCTAATCTGTTGAGTAATTCCACTTCTACATAGCTGATTTAGAGACTTGCGCAGGCATGAATGTTAAGCCCTACCCATGCCTGCGACGTTCAGGCCCCACCCTACCAATGGCCTGATTACTTCTGCCAAATTTGAGGCCCCGCTCAAAACCTCAAATCAGAAATAACCTCCTCCGTTAGTAAAGATGGCGCCGGAGGAGATGGCTGCCGTTTTACGGCCCCCTAACCAATTGTGCTATTGTGTTCTTTTTCATGTTATTTGTAATTTATTCTGTACATAATGTTTCTGCCACCGTCTCTTATGACTAAAAATAGTTTCTGGATATCAGGACAGCGATTACTCACCTCGTATTGGACAAAGATTTTTTCTTCAACGAGTCGGAAGGATATTCTACAAACACCCGACAAGGCCCAAATCCCTGTCATCCGAATGAGAAAGAGACAGATATCGTGAATGTAGGTCGGGGTGCCTTGTAAAGATACGACAGCGAGCGAGTAATCTGCCTCTTCCATCAGGCCTATTAGCCAACGTACAATCATTAAAAAACAAAATGGACGACCTAAGATCAAGGATATCCTACCAACGGGACATAAAAAACTGTAATATCTTATGTTTCACCGAGTCGTGCCTGAACGATGACATGGATAACATACAGCTGGCGGGATATACGCTACATCGGCAGGATAGAACGGCTGACTCCGGTAAGACAAGGGGTGGCAGTCTGTGTATATTTGTAAACAACAGCTGGTGCACACAATCTAATACTAAGGAAGTCTCGAGGTGTTGCTCGCTGAGGTAGAGTATCTCATGATAAGCTGTAGACCACACTATTTACCAAGAGTTTTCTTCTATATTTTTGGTAGTTGTCTATTTACCACCACAAACCGATGCTGGCACTAAGATTACACTCAATGAGCTGTATAAGGCCATAAGTAAACAGGAAAACGCTCATCCAGAGGCAGCGCTCCTAGTGGCCGGGGACTTTAATGCAGGGAAACTTAAATCCGTTCTACCTAATTTCTACCAGCATGTTAAATGTGCAACTAGAAGAAAAAAATCAATAGACCACATCCAGGCTCTGTCGCAGCCGGCCGCGACCGGGAGACTCATGGGCGGCGCACAATTGGCCCAGCGTCGTCCAGGGTAGGGGAGGGAATGGCCGGCAGGGATGTAGCTCAGTTGATAGAGCATGGCGTTTGCAACGCCAGGGTTGTGGGTTCGATTCCCACGGGGGGCCAGTATAAAAAATATATATATATATATGTATTCACTAACTGTAAGTCGCTCTGGATAAAAGCGTCTGCTAAATGACTTAAATGTAAATCAATAAGTGCATCGATGACTTCGTCCCCACAGTGACCGTACGTACATACCCCAACCAGAAGCCATGGATTTCAGGCAACATCCGCACTGCTAAAGGGTAGAGCTGCTGCTTTCATGGAGCGTTACTCTAACCCGGACGCTTATAAGAAATCCCGCTACGCCCTCCGACGAACCATTCAACAGGCAAAGAGTCAATACAGGACTAAGATTGAATCGTACTACACCGGCTCTGACGCTCGTCGAATGTGGCAGGACTTGCAAACTATTACAGAGTACAAAGGGAAACCCAGCCACGAGCTTACCAGACGTCGAGGCAAGCAACACTGAATGTTCCAGATGACTGATCACGCTCTCCATAGCCAATGTGCGTAAGCCATTTAAGCAGGTAAACATTCACAAGGCCGCAGGGCCAGACGGATTACCAGGATGTGTACTCCGAGCATGCGCTGACCAATGCGCTGAAAATGTCTTCTCTGACATTTTCAACATGTCCCTGACTGAGTCTGTAATACCAACATGTTTCAAGCAGACCACCATACTCCCTGTGCCCAAGAACACTAAGGTAACCTGCCTAAATGACTACCGACCCGTCTGTAGCCATGAAGTGCTTTGAAAGGCTGGTCATGGCTCACATCAACACCATTATCCCAGAAACCCTAGACCCACTCCAATTTGCATACCGCCCCAACAAATCCACAGATGATGCAATCTCTATTGCACTCCACACTGCCCTTTCCCACCTGGACAAGAGGAACACCTACGTGAGAATGCTATTCACAGACTACAGCTCAGCGTTCAACACCATAGTGCCCTCAAAGCTCATCACTAAGCTAAGGACCCTGGGACTAAACACCTCCCTCTGCAACTGGATCCTGGACTTCCTGACGGGCTGCCCCCAGGTGGTAAGGGTAGGTAACAACACATCTGCCACGCTGATCCTCAACACAGGGGCCCTTCAGGGGTGCGTGCTCAGTCCCCTCCTGTACTCCCTGTTCACCCATGACTGCATGGCCAGGCACGACTCCAACACCATCATTAAGTTTGCCGACGACACAACAGTGGTAGGCCTGATCACCAACAACGATGAGACCGCCTATAGGGAGGAGGTCAGAGACCTGGCGGTGTATGTGCCAGGATAACAACCTCTCCCGCAACGTGATCAAGACAAAGGAGATGTAGTCCTGTGTAGCTCAGTTGGTAGAGCATGGCGTTTGCAACGCCAGGGTTGTGGGTTCAATTCCCACGGGGGGCCAGTATGAAAATGTATGCACTCACTAACTGTAAGTCGCTCTGGATAAATGACTAAAAAATTTAAAACAATTAGATGTTTGTGGACTACAGGAAAAAAAATGAGGACTGAGCACGCCCCCATTCTCATCGACGGGGCTGTAGTGGAACAGGTTGAGAGCTTCAAGTTCCTTGGTGTCCACATCACCAACAAACTACCATGTTCCAAACACACCAAGACATTCGTGAAGAGGGCACGACAAAGCCTATTCCCCATCAGGAGACTGAAAAGATTTGGCATGGGTCCTCAGATCCTCAAAAAGTTCTACAGCTGCACCATCGAGAGCATCCTGACTGGTTGCATCACTGCCTGGTATGGCAACTGCTCGGCCTCCGACCGCAAGGCACTACAGAGGGTAGTGTGTACGGCCCAGTACATCACTGGGGCCAAGCTTCCTGCCATCCAGGACCTCTATACCAGGCGGTGTCAGAGGAAGGCTCTAAAAAGGGTAAAAGACTCCAGCCACCCTAGTCATAGACTGTTCTCTCTGCTACCGCACGGCAAGCGGTACCGGAGCGCCAAGTCTAGGTCCAAAAGGCTTCATAACAGCTTCTACCCCCCCAAGCCATAAGACTCCTGAACAGCTAATCATAACTACCCGGACTATTTGCATTGTCCCCCCCCACCCCACCCCCTCTTTTACGCTGCTGCTACTCTCTGTTTATTATGTATGCATAGTCACTAACTCTACCCACATGTACATATTACCTCAATTACCTCGACTAACTTTTTTTCTTAAAACTACGTTGTTGGTTAAGGGCTTGTAAGTAAGCATTTCACTCTAAGGTCTACACCTGTTGTATTCGGCGCATGTGGCAAATAACATTTTATTTTAATTTGAAATCCATTAGCTGCTCCTCTCTGTCAGTCACTCGCTCCCTGCACGCAGCTCAGTCTGCATGCACTCTGAGTCTCTCCTGACTTGTATTTGATGAGTTTGATGCACTTCTGACACCATGTTATGACCTTAGTCAGATATGATTACTGCAGCAGAGCACGAGCAAATGGCTCAGCTTCAAAATGTTTGTGAACACTTTATTGATACCAGAGCCCTGCCCGTAACCTATTTATTGATGAAAAAACAGACCCTACCTGGCCCTAACCGGATGTATAATGTCGGGCTCGGGTCGGGTAGCAGATCTCGAAGGTAGTCCCACAAAGCTACAGTACAACTCCTCAGCTATACACTGAATAATCCTTATCTTTTCTTTCTCTCCTCCCGCAACCCTCTTTCTCTCTCCCTACAGAGGAGGAGTTTAGGACTCTGTACCTGAACCCCCTGCTGAGCCAGCAGAACCTCCAGCAGTCCATGAAGCCTGCAGCCATGCCCCGCGGCCCTGCCCCGCCTAGCTGGGACTGGAGAGAGCATGGAGCTGTCAGCCCCGTCAAGAACCAGGTAGGACCGGGTTTAGAGATGGTCTTACAGACTGGAGATGACTACAGGTATGACTGTAAATGTGTATTTATGATCGGGCAAATAACTTAAAAAGGCTTTATATAGCATTCATAAAGTATTCATGACTCTGCATTGATGCTTCACTAAACATTTATAGGTACGCAAAAGTCATTCATACTGTAGATATGACACAATTCATGGAAAATGTGGAGGTAGGTAATGCCTGTGTGTGTGTACGGCTGATTATGTGGTTTGTGTTTGTATTGCAGGGCATGTGTGGTTCTTGCTGGGCATTCTCAGTGACAGGCAACATTGAGGGCCAGTGGTTCGCGAAAACTGGCAAACTAGTGTCTCTCTCTGAGCAAGGTAAGCACAAGCATTTGTAGGTATCATACATTCACCTGTACAACAGTACAGTTTCCCTTTTCTACATAAGAGCCTTGAATTGATTGGTTCAATGTCCTGTGACTCACAGAGTTGGTGGACTGTGATACTGTGGACCAGGCCTGTGGGGGCGGGCTTCCATCAAACGCATATGAAGCTATCGAGAAGCTGGGTGGTCTGGAGACAGAGACTGACTACACCTACACCGGCAAGAAGCAGAGCTGTGACTTCACCGCCAACAAAGTCACCGCCTACATCAACAGCTCTGTGGAGCTGTCCAAGGACGAGAACGGTGAGTGGGAGAAGAGGAGAAAGATACTTTGAAAAAAGGTAGCGTGAGAGGGTAGGGTACACAGAAAGACACAGACGTTTGGATGAAGATTGAACAATGTGGTACATATGGAGGAGGGTTGGCTTCATGTGTTAATCTTGGTTTCCTTCCCTTTTTATGTTTAGAAATCGCTGCTTGGCTGGCTGAGAATGGACCAGTATCTGTGGCCCTGAACGCCTTCGCAATGCAGGTAACAGGCATCACTGCTGTATGCTCCTTATTGATACTTAAATTAGCATCACTAAAACGCAACTGAACAATTACGTTTTATTTTTAATTTAACCTTTATTTAACTAGGCAAGTCAGTTAAGAACAAATTCTTTATTTACAATGACAGCCTGGCAAAAGGCCTCCTGCGGGGACGGGGACTGGGATTAAAAATAAAAATATAGGAAAAAACACACATCACGACAAGAGACACCACAACACTACATAAAGAGAGACATAAGACGACAACAAATGCATGGCAGCAACACATGACAACACAGCATGGTAGCAACACCACATGACAACAACATGGTAGGAACACAACATGGCAGTAACTAAGATACTAGTCACTATACTAGTATACATCTGTCTAATCCCACCACCCTTTCTCTCCTTTTCTCCTCAGTTCTACAGGAAGGGCGTTTCCCACCCTCTGAAGATCTTTTGCAACCCCTGGATGATTGACCATGCAGTGCTGCTCGTGGGCTACGGAGAACGTGAGACTGACACTTAACTACTAATTTACCTTACATTAACCTAGCGCAATAACAACACAGTGATGAGTCAGAATTTGTGAGTCGTGTGTCTGGTTGTTTCTGTGTACAGGTCAAGGCAAACCTTTCTGGGCCATCAAGAACAGCTGGGGAGAGGACTATGGAGAACAGGTAAGAGAAAGCTGTCACACTGAACCTCTATGAAGAGGCATTATGTGGGGATTTGCAAACCGAGTGTATTTGTTTGCAATGCATGCATAAAACCTACACTCTTAGAAAAAAGGTGCTATCCAGAACCAAAAAGGATTCTTCGGCTGTCCCCATAGAAGAACCCTTTCCACAGAGGGTTCTATATGGAACCCCAAATAGTTTTACTTGGATCTAAAATTGCTTCTATGGGGACAGCCGCAGAACCCTTTTGGAACCCTTTTTTCTAAGAGTGTAGTCAGGCATGAACTCTTGGAACATATTGTGCAAATAGAAGTTTTGACATGTGTATTTGTGTGTTCACGGACTGACATGTCCTGTTGCCTCTTCCTTCCCTCCAGGGTTACTACTACCTGTACAGAGGATCCAGGCTCTGTGGGATCAACAAGATGTGCTCGTCTGCCATTGTGAACTAGGCGATATGACAAACACACACACACACACACGACCTGAATAATATTTGATGCCAACCTTTTCCTGACACAGAAAAACAAACCCAACACCCTCCCCAAAACACACACACACACTACCTACAAACTGACCAAACTGCAATGCTACTCACCCTACCCCCATAATTGTGTAGTCAGAACACTGCACAGAGCACTGGAAGACCTGCTGACACCTTACTCAAATAGGGGAGGCAGTATTAATTCATACATCACCTCATTCTTCTTTACCAAAACAAACCAGCTCCGATTAAGTTATAGTTTCAAGGTAGTACTAATATTTTGTTGTGATTTTACTGTAGGTTTTTGCATTTGTATCTATACTGAACAAAAATATAAACATAACATGCAACAATTTCAAAGATTTTACTGAGTTACAGTTCATATAAGGAAATAATTATATTGAAATAAATGAATTAGTCCCTAATCTATGGATTTCAAATGACTGGCCCACCCACGGGGTAGCAGTCAGCATGCCAATTGCACACTCGCTTAACACTTGAGATGTCTGTGGCATTGTGTTGTGTGACAAAACAGCACATTTTAGAGAGCCCTTTTATTGTCCCCAGCACAAGGTGCACCTGTGTAATGATCGTTCTGTTTAATCAGCGTCTTGATATGCTACACCTGTCAGGTGGATGGATTATCTTGGCAAAGGAGAAATGCTCACTAACAGGGATGTAAACACATTTGTGCATTACATTTGAGAGAAATAAGCTTTTTGTGCGAATGGAAAATTTCTGGGATCTTTTATTTCATCTCATGAAAGATGGGACCAACACTACATGTTGTGTTTATATTTTTGTTCAGTATGAGTCTTTTAGAATATTTTAATTTAATTGTTGTGTTTTAGGCAGAGGTAAATTCAGTAATCTATCTCTTTACATTAACGGAGTCTAAATTATAGACTTCAGGTCATGCTCTTTAGTGTCCGTTATGCTCCCCTGAATGTGACCACTCTCTGTGCTGATGCTCTAGTGTAGAATGAATGCTTGTGCATTATTTTTGCTAGTTTCCCCTCTGTTGTAACATGTTCCGTGCAATATCATGTAATGTCAATCTCTCCCCTTAGTATACAATTTACAACTTGACTATACAAGTCCTTAGAATTAATGGATTGGCATGGTTTCTGAGCTGTTAAAAGGATCAAACATCGGCTGATGTGTAGCCTATTAACTATGATACATATTGCTGTGCTGTGTAACTAGACAAACTAAGGTTGAATAAAACAATATTTTATCTTTTGACTGTCATTTCTGAAGTCAATATCCTCTGTATGTTGTCTGGCTCATTGGAGAAACAAATACTATCTATTCACAGCAACATTCGGTTCTTAATAAAACTACAGACAGAAGGGTTGGTTATAAATATCTTTGCTAGCTTCAACCCTTTGCTAAAACTCCCATAGTGCAACTGGGGTAAGAGTTGCCGAAAAGGAAAGGAAGTGCATGCGTTTGTCGTTTCTTAGCTGCTATAAACTCATATTTGAGAAATAAATGTATTTTTTTGTAGTTTACATGCCTTTCAACAATCCTGAATCTTTGACCTACAGTAAAGATACACATTTTCGCAGTTCAGATTTACAAAGAATGTAGGAAGTGGCTAATTTCAAGTGTATGTGCGTGCTAACTTAACTTAGCTAACGTTACCAAGAAAGATCTAGAAATACATCGTTATATAATATCATATGGTCTAATCTTCTATAAATTCATAACATAAGAGCTAGTATAATTCTGACCATTAGATAGCTGTTTGTGTACATACAGGCTTTTTTTGTTTACTTAGCCAGCTAGCTAGCGTGCACAGCTTGCCACTTCTCCCAAAACAAAACTTGTTCATTTTATGGCATCACATCGCTCTGGCTGACATGTTTTAATTTTTTATTATTACTAGCTAGCCTGTTATTGGATATGTATACAGCCTACAATGTTCTTCTCATATTTTTGCCATCTATTAACTTATAGAGTACCACAGCATGAGTCATAATACCCAATGGCGATTTTAGCGTGTACATCTTGGTGGGGCAACAGCAAAGCCACAACACTAAACAATACATTAATTGCGCTACAACGGTGACAAACGGTGCCCACAAACTGTTAGGGCCTACATAAAGCTGTCCCGAGAGCGGAGATTTCCTTTCAGCACCATGGAGTGAATCCTTACCACCACTACACCTGGTTATCAGCGGAGCCTTGTCTAGCAGCAAAACAGTTCATTCAGCCTCATTTACTGACTTTTTAAAACCATGGCTGATTTGCTTAAACAAATGTGGTTTCTGACACCTAGTGGATTTGTGTAAGTCGATAAGAACCGCATTGTCCTTTAATAATAACGAACGCCAACATGAGTTTTGACTATTGAAACATACACAAACATTATTACATTCATGTTAAGTAAATTCATAATGTTTGTTCTTATATCATTAACACTTAGCTCTAAGTATTAGCAAGTGCAAGCAAACGAGCTGCGTCGAGGTAGGCCTCTTTGTTCAGCACATTCAATATGGACACCAACAGAAATTCAGATAGATGTTAGTTCAGATCAATTCAGCAAGATGTTGAGGCCTTAACTTTACTCTTCTTTAAGTCACCACAGGGAGGGAGAGAGAGAGAGACGCGGTTAGCCTATGATTTGAAGTATTTTATTAGGCCTATGTGGTATAAAAAGGAAGGAAAATACAATCACGAGGATCCACTTTTATAGACAATATACCGACTCACAGACAGCGCATTGCGCAAACAAAACAACTGTTGCGATATCAACTGGAATTACATGGGTCTATTACTGAACTTTCTGTTGAAAACAAATATTTGAATGGGAATAGACTGTCACTGGCAAACATGGTTACAGACCCAACAACATTATATAGTATCACCTCCTCCTGAAGAAAAGCACATGAGCTAATTTATGCAGCAGCATACAACACATTTTTGGACTCACCATTGTTGTCTGAGCACGCATCCCTGAGGGGCCCCGTGTTGAGGATCAGCGTGGCTGATGTGTTGTTACCTACCCTTACCACCTGGGAGCGGGCCGCCAGGAAGTCAAGGATCCAGTTGCAGAGGGAGGTGTTTAGTCCCAGGGTCCTTAGCTTAGTGATGAGCTTTGAGGTCACTATGGTGTTGAACACTGAGGTGTAGTCAATGAATAGCATTCTCACGTAGGTGTCCCTTTTGTCCAGGTGGGAAAGGGCAGTGTGGAGTGCAATAGAGATTGCATCATCTGTGGATCTGTTGGGGCGGTATGCAAATTGGAGTGGGTCTAGGGTTTCTGGGATAATGGTGATGATGTGAGCCATGACTAGCCTTTCAAAGCACTTCATGGCTACAGACGTGAGTGCTACGGGTCGGTAGTCATTTAGGCAGGTTACCTTAGTGTTCTTGGACACAGGGACTATGGTGGTCTGCTTGAAACATGTTGGTATTACAGACTCAGTCAGGGACATGTTGAAAATGTCAGTGAAGACACTTGCCAGTTGGTCAACGCATGCTCGGAGTACACGTCCTGGTAATTCGTCTGGCCCTACGGCCTTGTGAATGTTGACCTGTTTAAAGGTCTTACTCACATCGGCTATGGAGAGCGTGATCACACAGTCATCCGGAACAGCTGATGCTCTCATGCATGCCTCAGTGTTGCTAGCCTCGAAGCGAGCATAGAAGTAATTTCGCTCGTCTGGTAGGCTCGTGTCACTGGGCAGCTCATGGCTGTGCTACCCTTTGTAGTCTGTAATAGTTAGCAATATAGCCAAATATATTGATAAGTCACCTTGTCCAAGAGAGATTTACATGGTTATCAAAACTTCACGCCAGGAAACACAGCCCTTATTTTAAGTGTTTCAAAAATTCCCAATGGGAAAAATGAATGGTGGAAAAACGATTGGAACCATTTCCCTGTTTGACCGCTAGGTGTTATGGGTATTATGACACCTCCACTGTGGGACTCTATTCTGACCTCCTCACATACTAACCAGCAGATCTGACCCGCTTGCTTATAGCTGCACTAGGGTCGGAAGGCATTCCAGTGTATATTTTCAAACACTGCAATCCAGGGATGAGAAATGCATTGTCCTCCGAATTGTCACATTATCCCAACTGTTTCACAGAGAAGATTGAACGACTGCTAGAAAATTAGCAGTCGTTGAATCTTCTCTGTGTAACAGTTGGGATAATAGGACAATTCGGAGTACAACGAATTTCTCATCCCTGGTTAGAGGTACGTTTCCCGAACAGACACTCAACGACTACATCACACCTACAGAGAACCAACAGATCGTGAGGGTGAGTACCTGTGCTGTTAGCCAGAAGATTCCGACTCTACCATTACACTTGTTTACACTGAGCTGCACTGTTAGATTAAGACACCGCGGAGCCGGTGCGAGGTATGGGTCGGAAAACATACCTCAATGCAGGGATGGGATATGCCACTGTACTCCAAACTTTACCTTTATCCAAACTGATAAATGGAGAAGATTGAAATACTGCTAGTTACAGTGGGGGAAAAAAGTATTTAGTCAGCCACCAATTGTGCAAGTTCTCCCACTTAAAAAGATGAGAGAGGCCTGTCATTTTCATCATAGGTACACGTCAACTATGACAGACAAATTGAGAAAAAAAAATCCAGAAAATCACATTGTAGGATTTTTAATGAATTTATTTGCAACAAACAAGCAAGATTTCTGGCTCTCACAGACCTGTAACTTCTTCTTTAAGAGGCTCCTCTGTCCTCCACTCGTTACCTGTATTAATGGCACCTGTTTGAACTTGTTATCAGTATAAAAGACACCTGTCCACAACCTCAAACAGTCACACTCCAAACTCCACTATGGTCAAGACCAAAGAGCTGTCAAAGGACACCAGAAACAAAATTGTAGACCTGCACCAGGCTGGGAAGACTGAATCTGCAATAGGTAAGCAGCTTGGTTTGAAGAAATCAACTGTGGGAGCAATTATTAGGAAATGGAAGACATACAA